GAAATGTAGACAGGGAGCTAAGGAAACACATAGGCCCTAGCTGACATCAGGGGTGATGCAAAGGAAGGCCAGGAACTCGCACAAGCAAGGGCTGTGAGAATAAAATAGTGAGAGATCAGCCCCAGGGCAAAAGTCTGTTGCAAAATATTTTTTTGAACCGATAAAACCGTTCTGCTGTGTGGTCGAAAGCGCGCGGCAGGGACGGTTTCATATTGCTGACGGCGATCAGAAGGAACAGCGGGACTCTGGGGCCGAACTCGGCCCCCGTCCGGTCTCCCTTCTCAGGTTTTCTCTCGAAAACCTTTTCTAAACCACTTGCGCTGCCTTGCCTCTCTCTAAGACAGGGTTTAGCGCTTTTTTAAAATGGTTTGAGATCTGCAGATAGAAGCAGCTTTGAGAACCAACTATTTATGACAGCGCAGTGACCGTGTTTCGAGGAATCGCGGGTTAATGGTAACGACGTGCCTGTGAGTTTTCTGTTGTGCGTTTCCGCATGTAGGAACAAGCGGAGGCATTGCTAATCTTGTCAGCCGCATCCCTGACTGTAACAGAACTGATAAGTACCTTTAATATGCTGAACTTCTACTAAAAATTTGAAAATACTCTCTTAGGAGAGATGGCAAAGTTATTTGGGGTTTTATTCCCCTTAGAAGTGACGATGATGAGAAAATAATGAAGAATTTTGCCTTTGAACCCGCAAGAACTATTAAAGCAGGAGCTGTTTGAAGGCTGATGATGTGTCGGGTGTACCGAGCGCAACGTTTTGTCGTGCTCCGGATACGCAGCTTTGGGTTTCTCATTCTCTTCACCCTGCAAATATTTTGGCTGCGATAATATAAATTTATATCTCCTGCATGTAGCAGAGTAAGAAGTTCTGCGCACACAGTAAACACATTTTACGTGCTCAGACTTGAAAAGCTGCGTGAAGGTCGTTTTTAGCAACGACGGCTCTGTGGCTCCTTTGTCGTGAAAGCCTGCGGCAAAAGCGGATAAAACTTGTCAGAAACTAGTCTGTACGGCAATGACAAGCGTATCTCTTGTTTCCTTCCTAATCACGGCGATTTTTCTAATGTTTGCTTTAAAGCAGAGCTTTCTAACTCACTTTTCGGCTTGGGTTGGATCAAGCCTTAAGTCAACGTGCTGGCGCTCAGTAGATCCTGGGCAGGCAGCGTGCTGCGTGCGTGCCCGTGCCGAGACGCGCCCCGGTGAAACCGCTTTCAGCCTGCAAGTGGTTTCAAACTCCCCGCTGCACGGGGAGCCGTTAAAGGCAACGGGGCAAGGAGCGGTCGTTTTACAATATTACGGCTCCACAACTCACGTCAGTATCTGGTCCGTCGGAGGATTTCCTGCCCTACAGAATGAATTCGGCTGGGTTTTATTTTTTGCGCTGTTATTATGTATTTTATGGCTAGAGCGTGCTGTTATGATCCTCTTGACTGACCTTTCCATTTATCGTAGGCAGCAGGACTTCTCTCGTGATGCCCAAGCTGTGGCTGAACTAGGAAGACTTTTAAAAAAGGTCTAGCAATCAAAAATTCATCACAGCCTTTAAAATAATTGCTGCACTGACTAATTAACTCCATTACTAAACATTTACACTGTATATTTCTGGCCTGAATTTTATTGTGGGCTTTTCTTTTGGTTTTCACTGGGAGGCTGAGGATTCCTGTCTCACCAGTTGCCTGCTTCTGTGGGTGCTCCTAGCCCACCATCAAGTCACCCCAACCTTTCTTTCCTGAGCTGATTGTAGCATGAACTTTCTTTCTCCAAGCCGAGTTTCCCATCCCTCTCACCCCGTTCCCTGAATCGTCTCCAATACTCTGATGAGTGGATGCTAGACCTGGGCACGGTACGCCAATAGCTGTCTTGCTGCTGCCAAAGCCAGAAGTGATGTACGTTTTCCCCTTTGAATTTGTACTTTTGTTGCTGTGGGACTCTCGTTAGTCCTCTGCCACAGCGTCGTGCTGGGAGTCACGCTCTGCGAGCCGTAAAACCCAGAGCATTTCCTTCTGCCGTTCATCCTGTACGCCCACAAGGCTGGAGCTGTGGGCCACCTCGTTTATTTTTAGGTCACATAAACACATTAATTGCTTGATTTAGCAAAGCGTTCAGCATCCCCCGTATCCCAGAAGATATGGCAATGAGGACCAGCCGTGTGGGTCCCCCTTCCCACCAGCAGCTCATTTACCAAGTGGGACCACAGGGTCTGGCGCTAAGCGACGGTCAGAACCCTTTCGGGGTGCGCAGCCGCAGACCAGGCGGCGGCGCAAGGTCTCGCGCGGTTTGCCCTTAGCCTTTGCAAAAAAATATTGGAAGAACGGAGGGATTGAGGTTTGAGTCACGGCAGCCTGGGCTCCGCTCCGTTTGGGGCCGGCCCCCCCGGGGCCCGGAGCCGCTGGCGGGGAGCAAGGCTGGCCGGGGAGTCGTGGGAAAGCACCAGCGGTTGTGGCCAGAGTGGTGGCTGGGGCGCGTCGTGGAGACCGCACGCTGCTATTGTCAGCCAAGCCTGAAGTCTTACTCAGAAAGTTGATTTTCAGTCAAGTAACTCTTGTCTGAAGTGAACAGGCCCTTGATTAAGGACAGAACAGGCTTTCATTAAGCCTATTCACGTTAGATGTGAACTTGTTATGCTCGCTGAAGTAAATATTGCACTGCTGTGAATGCTGGCTCGCACAAGGCACAAGAGGAGCCCTTATTCTGCAGTGTCTCATTCTGGGCAGAGCTTTGCTGGCTCTCTGGCCTCTCGCTGGAGCCACAAGTTATCCAAGCGAGGCCCCGCAGCCTGACAGTAAACAAAAGGCCATCCTCCCAGCTGCTTAATAAACACGCTCTGTGCCCAGGGCACCGGGCAGGGCAGGGTCCACAGGCCAGCAGAACCTGCGAGCACCTCTTCCACTTCAGCTGTAGCCAGCCGCTTGCTTGAGCAAAGTAAAAAGCAGCTTATTTTGGTGCAAAGATGCTGCGCTGGTAGAGGGTTTGTACCTGCAGGTGACTTCGGAAGCGACTTTTTCCCCACTCTAAGCGTGGCAGCAGGCAGTTTGTGTTCTCCACAGGCCATGCTGTAGCCATCAACACAAACGCCTGAAGCGTGGAGCTCGTCAGAAGTTCACGAGAGGCTGTGAAAAGACAGAGCCCTTTGCATGCCGACACGTGCCCGTACCGTCAGAGCCGGTCTCCTCCCGCCTGCGGGGGCCCCCGGGGGCAGCACGCACGCCTTCCTGCCCAAACTAAACCAAACCGCCACACCCGTGAAAGACCAGTAACTAGAGTCTACTTTATTGACTTCAGTCAAGTTTTATTATGCCTCAAATAATTAAATACTGCAACCGTGACATTAAAAATACAGGCCAATTTACCAAAATACTTGTATTCTGAAGATTATGTACATAATATACATTTTACAGTATCATGTAAACTTTTTTTTTTTATACATAAGGTAAATCTGATTTATGGTAACTAGAAAACCCAAAATACTCGCTGACAAAAATATTCCTATGAAACATAGGCACTGCGTCTGGGACATTCAGGAAAATTGCAAAGAATGGAAGCCAACTATAAAACATAATTGAGTTAGTAGAAAAATGAATTAAATTACATTCATATAAAAAGTTAAACTAAAAACATTGCTATGCATCATTATTAAAAAAGGGAAAAATCCCAAACCCTCTCCTTTTATCTATTAACACACGCTTTCACAGGGAGCTACTGTGCGCCTCATTTCCAGCAATGGGGCATAGCCTAGGAAATCCGGATTCCTGTTCTCCTTTTAACATATATTAAATAAGCAGGGTCTGTACCAAAGCAAACGTACGTATTCATGCACGGTGATTATGTTCAGAGTAGCCTCCACCAAGGCACGGTTCTTGGGTCGTCTCCCCCCCGCCCCTCCCTTTCGGCATGCAGGGCTAGAGATGTTTGCTGTTCAAAAAAAGCTTCTGTGGGCCTTGCCTCCAGTCTGATTTTCACACTAGGGGACACAGAAACCCTTCCAGCGTAGACTTAAAAATAAATAAGTAAAAGAAGGTAAAAGGCCTTACATCTTGCACCGATCGTGCCAACGCAGTTAACGCGCCTTAACCCTCTCTACAGGCTCCAAACGCGTGTCACTCAGGCAATGTGATTCTGCTTCTCCGGTCAAATATTTTATATATTAACTAGGACAATAAAACTGTTCCTTCTGCTAATCTTCATTCATGTGACAGCTGTAGTGTTTTGATTTGGCAGAATGGATCTTCAAGTCTAAATTGGTTTCTAGCTCACATCTCATCTCGGCACACCACCATTTGCATTATCTGCTATGCAGCGCGTGTAATTAAAGTACCTAGGTATGCTCGTTAAAATAAATGCGTAATTTAACTGTATATAAACAGCTGCCAAAATTAACAGCTGTTAACCTGGCTGTATGTTGAAGGCTTGTAAAACTTGCATATTTTATAACTGTTCTGCACCTAGAAAAGGCCTGGTCCTGCAAAGAGCTGGGCACATGCTTATCTTCAAGGATGCGAAGAATCTCATGAGATTACAACGAATGAAACTACCCCGGGCCTCGGCGAGCACCGCAGAGCGTGCCTGGGCCGGGCAGCGTGGCCAGCCGGGGGTCCTGAACGTCACGTCGAGGAAGACAGTGACGAACGTCGGCTGGGTTTAGGCACTAGATAAATTCCCTCAGATGTTGAATGGCTCTGAAATGAGACCAAACATCTCTGTCAGACTTGGACAAGGTGAAAGTGTATTCCAAAATGGCCTTTATAAAACATGCCCAGTATTACAAAAAATGAAACCTATATGATGTCTGTTTATGTACAGCTTTAATAGAAAAGAAATCCTAATCTAGAGTATCAAAATCCGTGTTCATATAAACGTATGAGAGCATCTAATAGAAAAGGAAAAGTGTAAAACACAAACTTTTTTGGAAATTAAATATCCTAAAAGTTGGTTTTTTTTTTTTTTTTTTTAAAAAGAAAACAGGAATTTGTGTGCTGCAAAAAAACTGAGGAGGACTACATCTCCCCTCGTCTACGAGTTTTTGCTGCAACAGCTCTACCTTCCTCCTCCTCCTCTTCCTCCTCATAGTTTTCTTCATGAGCTTCTTTCTGGTTGTTCTCTTCTCGCATTTTTTGCTCTCGATCTGCCCCGCCGTTGTTCTTTTCTTCTGTCCTCCTCCTCTTCCTCCTCATAGTTTTCTTCATGAGCTTCTTTCTGGTTGTTCTCTTCTCGCATTTTTTGCTCTCGATCTGCCCCGCCGTTGTTCTTTTCGTCTGCCTGAGGGGGAAGAAAAAAAAAAATTTAAAAACCAGATTCAGTGCCACTGCCAGCTTCCTTATAGTTTATTTTGGGGCAATGAGCTGAAGTTAAGGAAAAATGGCTGTCAGCTGGAGTTGTTAGAGTTGGGACAGTGCGAAATTTTAAGGCCTATGACCTGAAGCAAGCTACGACAATTATTACATAACGTCACTGTGACATGATCACAGCTACGGGAAGTGTTTCATCACGGCACCGAGTTTGTGGGTTTACACAGTGCTTACGTTTTCCTCATTTTCACCATATGGCTCTTCAGCATTGCGTTCCAGTTCTCGTTTCTTCTCTTCAGTCAAATCTTCCTGGATCTACAAAGCACAGAGACGTTCTGTGTATTTTCATTTCCTTTAGAGAAGTAGCCTGTGGCATAAATGTACCCAATTTCATAGCTGTACTTTTACAGAACGAAGATTCAAAAGAAAGGGAGGAGAGGGCATGGAGAGGTTAAAGGAGGAAAAATCAAAACCACCCAACAATTGGGAAATTCACCTCCTCCGGGAGCATATTTAACTTTTAACTACCATTTTCACAGGCCCTCTCATCATCAGTTAACACATTTAGCTTTCCATTCCGTGTTTTAACTTTACATATACATTATTTTCTCCTTGTCCTTCATAGCGAGAGTGTCACGACACAGCAAAGAGTCACTACCAACACTTCCACCCCACTGTGGACTCCTAGAACTATTTCAGTTCCGCTATGCGAGGTAGGTGTGTAATGGTAACTTTGTCCGTGTTTTCCCAGTGATCCTTTTGCCAACTGCTCCTGGAAAACCACAAAAGAGCAAGGGGGGACTGGGAGTGAAGAAGAATCTCTTCCAACTCTGTCCCTGAGGAGAGAGCAGGCCACACTGAATCTGTTTTCCAGATGTTCGGATCTTGATCTATCACTTCTTTCTTTTATGTTAGCGCTTTCCCTCGCTTCCGTGTCCTTTAATGGTCAGGTGCAAATTAGAAAGGGGCACGCTTGACTTGCTTTTGGAGAATGCTATTATGCACATCCGCTCCAAATGGCGTCCTGCGAGCTGAGTAAGGCGCTTCCCGTAAGGCCGCGCAGCTCTCCCCACGGAAAAAAGCTGCTTCGCCTGGCCAGGAAGCATTCGCCACTCAGTGCTGCCACCCCCCCGCCACAAAGAGCAGGGATGGGACTGCTGCTCCCTCCCTCCAGCAGCTGCTCTCGCGCTCTCCCGAGCAGCAGCGGCAACAGCCGCCTCAGGATCGGGAGCAGGAGTTGTGGCAGCTGTTCCCACCAGGAGGCCAAGCTGCTTGTGAACGAGCTCTTTGGGGTTAGGTCTTGCTGCCAGCAGAAGGGCACCCATCAAACCTGCATCGCTGAGGGATATATGGGAAAGATTCGAACAGCAGCAATGTACAATATTTGAGTCAACCTACTGAAGAAACTATTCCCCATTACAACACCTGAAACTCCTTCTTGATTGCTCGTTCAATCACTGCTCACTCTAAATATTTCCAGTAAGCACTCTGGTCATAGTCCTTTATGAAATATGTATTAAGATCCTTCCTGTAAGCCAAAGAGTAATTGCCAAAGGCCAACTACTCCCAGCTCCTAATGACCTGGCTTGACTTAAGTAACCGTACTTTGAACTGGTGAATTCTAAGTGCATGCCAGCTAATCTAGACAAAGTGTTCCCCACAAGGGAGTAATGAGTAGCTGTTTCTATTGCTTTTTGTAAACCGTTATGTATGAAGTAGAAAATAGCAATTGATTAGGTATGGCCTGCAGAACTGCAGGGCAGCTGATGCCAGTGCATGCATAATGAGCACGCCATTCAACACACAGAGGAAAAAGTCCCTTCCCCTCCTTTTCTCCTGCAGTTCAAAGCAGCGCGCTCCCAGCTTCCTGACTATTGACTCCACGAATGGTCGGGGCTTACGTAGCTTGGATCGCTTAGGAGGGGCGCAGGTAAATCAAAGTCAGAGCCAAAGAGTAAGTAACTGGCCAAGGAAGCAGCGTGCCCAGAACAGCAGCGTGTGATTAGAGATGCAAAGTTAACAACGTTTTCGGTGACCTTCAGAGCGCCCGAGGTTTTCAGGAATTCTTCCTGGCACTGCGGATGGCTTAATCTTTTCAAGTATTGCACAATTAATACCGTGTTGCAGGGAAGACTGAGGGATTGCAGCATATAAGCACGAGTAACACTCTACGTGTCCAGAAGCGGATAGCAGAGTAACGGCAAAGACTCCCTAGGTTTCATAAAGTCAGACAAAGTGATGTGGGTTCATTTTGCGGTTATAAAAGATACCAACGTTAAACATTAATGGAGATGTGCTTCGCTACCTGAGTCCACGTACGTCTTGTGTCTGTTTCCTTACCTCCTCCTCTCCTTCTTCCTGGTACTGCTCATCCACATTATCTTCCTGCTGGTCGGGATTTCCTGCCATCTGCAGAAAGATCATGAAAGAATTCAGTTCTATCTACGTGCCTATTAACTTTAGGAGAATGAAGGTTAAAGCTTCTTGTTCTGGAGCTAAAACTTTATGTAAAGCTAAAGTAACAACAATAGCATAAGAAGTTATAGTGCGTTCATTAGCATTAATGATAGCCCAGGTACATGATTTAGAACTGCCCTAAATTAAAAAACAGACTGCAGAATGATTATAATAAAAATCACTTCACAGAATAAAGCACGACTTTCCATACTAAGCAGGAAGACAATGAAATATTCACACCGTTAAAGAGCAATGCCATAAAAATACAGATTCTCTCTGCCTAGAGGAGTTTACAGTTTGAACATGGTTGAAATGCGCAGCATTCACTGGAATGGCCCTAGAAGGGAAGTGACACCGCTGCTTACAGTTGATTTGAGTGTTGATGGCATGGAAGCGGCACGGAAGGGATTTGTGGAAAGACATGAAGGTTGTATGAACATGAAGGTTGTATGAACATGAAGGTTGTTCTTGCAGGGGCTTGTGTGAAGGTAAATACAGGGGCCCTGAACTATGAGACTACAGAACCTCGCCGAGTGGCACCAGTGATGACAGACGTTCTGGCGTATCGCCAGGAGTAATTCCACACTTTTACCTGCACGTGTCATATATGGCTTAACAGATCTTTAAAAATCCGAGTTCAGCGTTCTCTGGCCAAGCTGCGCTACACTGTCCTTAAGCAGGACCTACAGCTGCCTTTACTGACCACCAGGTGCTCTTCCATTCCCGGATGTCCTGGTTTCTGCCTGGTTTGCTTCTGCTTTTCATTTTCATCTGGTAGATTTTCTTCTCTCTCTTGCTCAGCTTCCTCAAATTCATCTTCTCCCTGATTGTTGGGGTCATCAGCAGGATTCACATCTTCTGTGGCTGCCTTCTGTAATTTTCAGAAGTGAATGTTAAATATGTGTTTTTAGCTCACAGTCAAATTCCCTTTCACTTGAAAGCTACCCTAGCGTGAGCTACGTTACAGCCAACTCCGTACCCACTGAAACCAGCTGGAATCTCTCTGCAGGCCTCAGGGGCCACGAGATCAAACCCTGGCCAATGCACAAGTGTCCGTTCCTGAAAGAAGAAGTATTTCAGCGCCGAACACAGACAGAAGTGCAGTACGGGTGTCTGTCTGCTAAAAAGTCATCAGCTTCAATGCGGTTATTTCACACAGGCTGCTGAACTCCTTTTGTTTACTGACTGTCTGACAGCTGACAATGCCTGATAAGACCAGGTGAAAAAAGATAAGAGTTTAAACGCTCCTGGCTCCAAAGGGCTGATGTGATCTTTCAGTACCAGTCTGCCCTGCAACATTGACCTTGTCTGTGTTTATAATAAAACAAAAGAAAACAACACTCACTTTTCATCCTACTTTGCCATTCAGAAAACGAGCATTTTCCTTCTGCTTATCATTGAGTAAAAGCATTTCTGATATCTTTATAGCTGACCAGTTAAAGATCCTTTAGAAATATTTACTATACAACTCCATTTGCTGAAAGGGAGGGGAGTGCAGATGACAGGCTTGATGTTCCACAAGAGCAAGGGAGATGGAACTTGGGGGAAGGCACAGGACTGAGCCTCCTGCATCCAGATCTCCGTGCAGTCGATACTGCAGCTGTGTTCAGTGCTGAGGTATATTCTCTTTCAAGATCTCCCACTTCTGTACTGGCTCCAGCTGGTTTCAGTGGCTATTGCGTTGGCTCTTACCCTCTTAACTAATGGCAGCATGAAAAATACCTTCACCGCTCTTTCTGACTGACCACCAATGAGCTACTCCTGTTATTTTTTTTGAATCTAAGTTTACCTGTTCAAGTCCCAGCTAAGTTCAAATCCTTTATTCCACCTAAAGCACAGATCAAGGGAATGTAGAAAAGCAACTTGCTTCCCACAAGGAAACCTTCCCAAATCAGCAAGGACAACTTTAAACAGATCATAGATGTAGTTCTGAACTGTCAAACTTGTCTTCCTAGCAGACCTCTGCTTCATCTTATTTCTGTAATGCGCAATTATGTTAGATGAGATTCTGGGTTTCCACTTCAGTAACGATTGCAATCCATAGCATCGTAATTCATACTCACTGATTCATCAGCCTGCTGATTTTCTACTTGATGTTCTGGTTCTTGCTGTTCATTTGCATTATTTTGATCATCATCTTCACCTTCGTCCTGGTGCTGGTTGTCACGTTCATAAGCTGACAAATTTTTGATATTATTATTGTATTACAGCAGTTTCTAGTTAGCCCTTTTCAGAAAGAATCTGGCTTCCAGCCATGCTTTTACCAGTAGGCAGCCTTTACCTAAAGCGCTTACCTAAACAGTAACACTAACAGAATTGTTCTACTGCTAGTAGGAAACCGACACGGAAAGATCACATAATTTGAAGAGATCAAACAAAAATCACAGGCAAAGCCAGGAATGTAACCAAGATCCACAAAGCCCTATCCTGGTAGCTCAATCAAAAGGACACTTTTCCTTTCAGGAATGTGGATATGATCTTTAGCAATACCTGTATTTCACTCAGTCAGTTCAGCCAGTGTTATCTGGGCTTCTGGTTTTAAATTGCGAGTTTATATTTCACTTGAATCCAAACTGGATATGAAATTAATATTAAAATCGCGCATGAAAAGTGGTACACAGGGAACCTGTGAACGTGGTAGGGGCATAAATTTTATCTTACCTCCTTCCTCTTCCTGAATACCTTGCTCTTCTTCCTCTTGGACAATATCATGGTCTGTGTGATAACGAGCCTGCTGGCTGAGAAAATTAAATGCAAATACATCATTTCAGTTTCTAAAAAGTGTGGTTTTGCTTTAATGAACAAATCATCCTACTGCATCTCTGCCTTTCCCAGCTCCTGCCAGAATGGATCCCAGTTTAGCTTTCTATTACCTAATATTTTCTCACATCATCTTTCCTTTTATAGAACAAAGACTTTCTTGTCCTAACTTCTTATACTAACTTCTGTACTTGTATTTGTCCATATATCAATGGGATCTACCTTGTATTTTCAAAACTCCTAAACCAGTATATTCCATAATCAAAGCACAAATACCATGAACTGGAAGCGAACAACCCCTCAGATAAAGAGTCCTCAAGACAGACTACAGGGATCAGTTATTTTGTTGAGTAAGCAGTTTTTGCTTTCATCTTGAAAGAGGTTTACTTGTGTGGTGGCTCTTCCAGGACTGAATATTTTGACTATCAATTTATGAAAGGCTTTCTCACAGCAAAATCCTTTTAGAACGCTGGTCAAGTTAATAATTAATATTTCAATGTTTCAGCAAAGAAAATTCAATGAGCTTAAGATTCCAAAAGACACAAAATTGTCACTAACAATTTTAAACTAAGCAGAAGCACAAGGAGATATGACAGGGAGGGTGAAAGGCACGTAGAAGCTACGATATCATGAATGTAACGGCATTTGCAATAACTTTGTGACACTAACAGGGTGTTGGTTTCTCCTGAAATCATGCTTTTGTCTCTACAGTGCAAATAATACTAGTCGCTCTTGTCCAGAAAGTCCTAATGGAATTACTTAAAAACAGCATCTCATGTTTAAGAGGAACTTTAGCTTAGGTACCTTAATGCGTATCTGATACTGGAGCTCCTCGGTACTACAAGATCATAATTGCTGCTTAGCAGAAAATAATTACTAATTTAAAGCAAGCTTTAAAGACAAGGGGCACTGTATGCCAGAAGCCCCTAAGCTCCTCCAAGATTGTGCATGGCAACGTGCATGCGTTACTCCAGACTTCAGAGGCTTCCATAGTGAAAGGAAAATAAAAAGGAAGGAAGAAAACCCCTTATACTAGCCATCAGATTTATCCTTGGAAAGAAGAGGATGAGGCTCACTGAATTTAGTTTCTGGGCGGTCTAGGTTTACAGCATTAAACCACCCTCTTTTCAAAGGTGGTACGGTGGAAGCCACAAAACCCAGAGCACAGGCCGTGACAAATTCATGTAAAAGAATTTAACCTTAGCCGGTTTTTATAGAGTTTTTCTCCTTGTTGTGCCTGTTTCTGCAGCTGAAGCTCTTTTTCTTGAAGCTGTTGCTGCCGTAATAGGTGCCCTCGCAGTCTTTGCTGGTGTAGTGACTCCTGATGTTCTTGTAGCTGATAGGCTTCCTCTGCTCTTTGGGCTGCAAGGTGTTGCTGCTCTAGTTGTTGTTCGTCAGCTGGCTTATGTCTTTTTGTTACAGCTTTTGTTGGTGTTATCTGTCAAACAAATGTGTTAGTCATACATCAATCATAATTTCAATGATCAGAAACAAGCATCAGAAACCTGTGACAAGAGGGAAAATTATGCACATGCTACACGCAATAGGCAGAATTGCAGCAAAAGTGATTTTAAGTTTCCTTGTCTCTGCTTAAAGTTTAATTAATTTTTTGAACACAGACTGGAAGTGTTGGGGTGTCTGTGGAGGACATGGGGAAGAAAGAGGAGATAATGGGATGGGGGAAGCCACGCTTTTCTTACGCATCAATAAGAACAAAAACCCCCAACACATTACCAGTAAAAGCAGGTTTGGATGGCTGACAATTAAGACAGTAAATATGCTTCCATTGATTTAACTGGCAATTTCAGCAGGGGCTGCTTTGAGCCTTAAATGAGACACCGCACGTTTTTTTACAGCTGGCAGCAACTTAAACTAACTCCAGTTTCACAGCTTAACCTATTGCTGCTGTTTTAATCCACTGCACCTCTTCAACAATGGCTTCTCCTCACAGCCGAGTTCTAGAATTAAGCTGCTAGGAGCGTAAGTGTTTACAAAGCCTAAAGTGTGATCAGTAAAATATATGTTCCACTGGAGATCCAATCTAGAATGTAAATCCAGGATTTGCTGGTTTTATTTAGAGCTGCATAGAGCAAGACCTGCCATTGCTGCACACTGATTTCCCCTGGCGATTTTAGTCATGTTCATCTTGCAGTTAAAATTTCCTGTCGAATGACAGCGAACATTTAGATGGAAATGTGTTCACAGAAAGCAGGTAACCCGGCAAGGAAACACACTGCAATTTGCTGAGATGCATCCCATTAGTAAGGCAGGACGGCTCTCCATCAGCGTGCTGAAGATAAATCTCATCCTCATCAGCTATCTTCTCCCCATCAGCTACCACAGGCCTCAGATTTAAAGTAGGAGATGGGATTCAACGTGACTGCTCTTTTTTTCCATCTGTGGCTTTTTGTCAGCAGAATTAATGTTCGTTAAGCTGCATTTGGCAAGCACTGCAGTACGCGCGTGCTGAACCCTATGCCTCCAAGTGCTTTGAACCCCAAATTGTCTATAAATATGACAATTTTATCTAAAAACCAGTGAGTGCTCCGAATCCCAAGATTACAATAAATACGACACTGATTTTACCTAGAAATAGGCGAGTGCCATACAGGGCCAGCAATGGTAAGAGATGCCTCCACTTAAACAGCAAATCTAATCGACTGGTAGAAAAGAGCAGAGCTCCATACCTCTGAATGAAGACGATCACCCAACATGTTGGTTTCTTCTTCTTTCTGTTCCTGTTTTTTCCACTCATGCTCTTCTGGTACTTGATCCTGTTCCTCCTCTAAGTGCTCAGGCTGACCTGCCTGCTCCATTTCTTCCTCTTCAAGTTCTTTTTTGCGTTCCTCTTCAATTTGATCAACACGTTGCTCATCATCCTCTCCAGCTTCTTGTTGCTCCTGAATATTTAGTTCTTTGGCATGCTGGCCCTCGTTAGCCCTAGTTTGCAGGTGAAAAGGCTCAGCTCTGTCTTCTTTTTCCTGGCTATTTATTTCTTCTTTTTCTTTTGGCTTCTCATTCTGCAAAACATACACAAGATTATGTGTGCACAAGATATTATGGATTTCATATTTTCAAGAGAGCCAAGGATCAGATACGGATGCCTTTATTCCATCCTGCAGTAGGGAAGCTGTTGTCAGGAGAGCCAAATGCCTGCTTTGGAACAAGCTACCGCTCCTGCCAAATGGTATCAATGCCCGATTCTTGGCTCTCCACAGCTACGCCAGTTGTTGTACAATTGCATCATGAAGTAGGTTAAGCCTCGTTTTATCTGAAGTAGAACAAAAAAGTATTATGATTCTGTATCTACAAAGGAAGCTTTGTATTTTTATTTCCTGTGGATTCTGCTGGCCAAGAACTCTTGGCCAAACAAAGAGCACAACTGATATTGTAACTTCTAGACTTCACCCACAGCTTTGCTTTTTTTCTTTCTGAATATCGGATAGTGTGCCAATTTCACATTTACTGACTTTAAGTATGCTACTGAAACTTTATAAAACACACAAAAAGACAATTTCTTCAGAACTTGTTAAAGCTTTTCTGCTATTATTCAAAAAATTAAGATTGTTAGCAACTTCTTAAAACAGCTTTCATAAACCAGTTTTAAGTGCATTTACAGTCCTATGAGAAAGGTCACCAGGAATATATTTTTCTACTACTCAATAAGATTAAAGTGTTCCTTACTACTTTACTCAAGAACTGGCAAATGTGTACAATTAAACATACGCTTCTATCGGAAGTTAAGCACGTAGCTAGTATTTTGCTGAATAAGAACCATGTCCTATAGCGTCTGTAGCCAATCAGTACTTCATACCTCTTTATGCTCTTCAGCCACAGCTTCATGGTGTACCGGGAGGTCACTGTGGGGAGACAGTGCTCGTCCCTCCGGTTGCTCGTTTGGTCGTTCTGACTTCTCAGGCTGTCGGAAACTTGACATTTTTTTGAGCGTGTCCTTCAACTGTTTGTATTCCTCCACCTGGGACTAAAGTCAACAGATTAATTATAGTGTGTCCAAATCAATTTAATAAAATGTAGTCACCTCGGAGTGAACTTGCTGGCAAGACATATGGTAGAAAGACTCAATGTTCACATCAGAGCAAATACCAGGGAGGAGAAAGGATGGGAGCTTTTAAAATTGGTTCTTTCCACGCACCAGATAGCATTGATTCATCACGATCTTTTCAGCCAAAGCGCACATGCGTACAAAGTATATTAGAAAAATCTCTGTGGGACAAAGACTAAGATTTGTTTTGTTCATGCCAAGCAGAATTGTCAGAAGGGGATGATGCAGTTTTCTTGGTAGACTAAAAGCGAGGGAAATCAAGAGCACCACAGCTTCTCCTTTACTGGTAGCAAGAAGTGCAGTTCTTTCAGAAACAGTAGCTTTAAAGTACATAGACACGTCACGAAAATGCCAAATCCTCAACATTTAGACAGGTGTTACACAAGACAACAGCCAACATACAGAACTGAGGCAAAGAAAGTCATAGTACGCCTTTTGTGAAGAGCAAGAAAAAAACAGGAGAGAAAAAAAGAGAAAATATGAATTTCTAAAGTCTCCCTGAAATGCAACAGTAGAATGTTGTAATTTGATTTGCTGTTTAACTTTGTACAAGATCAGGATACTTTCAAAAAGCTTTAAAGTCCAGTATGAGAATCCAGACTGGTTGGTACACCAGTCCCCGCCTATACAGCAGACGTACAAGAAAGACTATCTTATAAAGTAAAATTTTTGAGATGGGCAGGATTTATAAAGTCTGACCAGCTGCCAGTACAAAAGGTGGTGCCCCACGAGAGGGTTTCTCTGTTGCTCCAGTGGAGGTGGTGGGTGTGTTTACTACCCATTTTGAAGTCGGAGGTGCATTTCATAATCCTTTCTAAAATTCAGGTCAAAGACTGGCTAGAGTTTACACTCAGTGACTGCGTATGTCATTTTGTGTGTTATGTGGTATCATAGCAATCAATAGTACAGCAGACGGGCATGATGCATTGATGTACAATGCACAAATACTCATACAAAACAATATCCACAGTGCTACAGATTGACATGATGCAATGCATAACAGCTCCGAAGCTAGACGCACCTCGAAGCATCTTCAAAAGACTATGGCATCCATTAAAAGAGACGGGCCTAAAAGCAAAGCAGAATGCACAGTAATTACTCTTGTCATTCCAGAGGGATACTTCTGCTTCCCGATTAACTGCTGGAGAGTCCGATAAGAAATTTTAGAGGAAAAAATAGTATTTACTTAGCATAAGACTAATATATAGGTCTCCAATTTCCCCCCCACACACACTCGCTGACCATGCAGAGACACTAATATACTAGGATATTTAAACAGTGCACGTCCAGATCAGAATTCAAGTACTCCGCTCCGCTGCACCAGTCGCTCAGCTGCACATTGTGATTCAAGGCCATAGCCTAAAAGATATTAATACTGACAGAAAGACAGCGTTTATAAAAATACATAATGAATCTGTCTGGCTGTTTGAGCTATGGAAAAGTACAAAGATTACAATGCCTTAAAGATTCAGGCCACAAATTCATTAGTGCAGTATTGACTACTGATATTTAATGTCTAGAATACACTTAGAAATACAGGGGTCCTTCATCGAGCTGTGTTTCTATGCAATAATCCCTTGCGAACTTTCTGCAGCTGGTTTGCAGGAGAAGCTACGCAACGGTGCTAAATCCCTTCTGTTCTGAGAGAATGTGCAAGACCCTTCTGTTGAAGGAAAGGTTCTCCGTATGAGAAACGCCACATTCTGACTGCAGAGAGAAAGGCTTTGTGTGACACAGGTTTTCTAGTTAAAGAACTGAATCAAAGCCAGGAGAAGTATATGGAGCTTCCCTTTGGATTTGGTGAACCTTAAATCAGGCCCTGCATCTGCCCTTGTGGAATTTCAGTTGTTAGCAAATACATACCAAGCAGCTAACGTGGCCAGTGGGAGAAGAGCTTAAAAAGCCGCCAGCATATTTTAGTACTGGAAATTAAGATTCTTCATATATTTAGTTTATGAGGGACTTTCCTGGTCTTTCCCTGTTTTTTGAATACCTACACATATTGACATGCACAACAAGCAGAACTGGGGAAAAAAAAAGATCCAACGCTTTTAATAGTGCTAATGATTTTGTGGACTGTGAAAATACTTAAATGAAGAAAATTAGTCAGGAATAAAAATAACTTCACACTGCCTCATTGCCTTTCCCTCTGATCTTTCATCAATAGTCTTCCTCTGCTCCAACATTACTCCTACTTTCAGATTCCCCGTGGCCTACACAGCTTGTACTGGCACAGCTGACTGAATCTGCAATAATCTAGCAAGGTTTGCGCTTCATGAATAGTTCACTTGAAAATGACATTTAAGAAAGGTAATGCTGCTGCTTCTTTTTAACTAATTTGAGTTCCACCTGGAGTTTACATTCCTCCATATACACTCCGCCTCTGTTGCACTGATGTATATAGCCTTATAAACCTGCCAGTCATACACAAAAAGAGGCTTTGTAGTATACCAGCATCCAGGTCTTTATAACGATACGTGAGAATGTCAGAGTGTGGGATGTTAAACTAACAGAAGTTCTATCAGAGAAGACAGAGGAAGAAAGGTATTTGACAGCTCTCATGGAAGCAGAGATACTCTTCTTATCAGTAATACATGCACTCTTGGACCTCTAATACAGCCTTTTATTTTCCGACAGCCTGTGATTTGTTGCAGCGTCTTCTTAAGAGCAACCCTTTAACTCATGCATTTCCCTGCGGTGTGCAGCATGGTGCTAACTGCAGACTCCCCATGCGAAAGGCTACATGCATAACATTACAGTCAGCTGAACGAGGAGAAACAAGTTTGAGGAAGGTTAGAGCTAGTAGAAGCTGCTTTCCTTTCTGACCTGTGCAGCAGCTAGTGCACTCTTGTGGTCTTCCAATGTCACTACAAGCTGGTTGTGTTGGGAGAGTAAGTTCTTATGCTGTTGCTACACAAAAAGAAGAACACGACATGTTTCACATAAAGTTCATTCTAAAGGTAAATTAGGTAGCCAGGGGGATTTTGAACTAGGAAGATAATTCAATTTATTTCAAAAAGAAAATCCTGAGTTGGAATGACAGCATTTATTTATTCAACATGGAATGCATATTAAACACGCAGAGAGCGCGAGCATGCCAGGAAAGAAAATTTTGGAGGCCAGAATTTGTGTAACTAAAATAAAGTTAAAAGTTGGAGTAGATGTTGATAAACGTTTAAAAAAAAAAAAAATAGAGCTGGAAAACATTCATTTCAGCAAACTTAGTCTGCCAAAACAAAATTCTTAACTTGCAAAGTCAAATTTCCAATTCCAATTTCTGTACTAAATACTTCTCTTCCAATTCGTTTGTTTTTTTTTTTTTTCAAATGAGCATGTACCTAACGTGCAGGTGGCAAAAGGCAAGAAATCCAGTTCAGCCATATTCCTCTCCTTTTTGCCACATAACAGAAACTAGAAGGCTTCAGCATAGCCCATTTCTGGCTTGTTAAAACTTGGGAAAATTTTTCTTTTTCCTAATGGTCTTGAAAGTTCTCCTCAAAGCAAAGCCTACCTTGACATCTTGTAGCTGGGTGTGAATGTCTTGGTGAGCTTTCCTCAGCTGTCTGTTCTCCTCCCGTAAGTTATACAGGGATTCTGTTTAAAAGAAGTGACATACAGAATTTAAACCCAGTCAGGTTTATCATACTAGATTAAGCGCTAAAATTGAGACTATAACACAAACTCCATAAAATCCTACACAATTGCTATAGCAAAAATGGATTAGAGTACTTGTATGGCTTCTTTATGGTACATCTCCCCCCAGCCCTATAAAAAGCCTTACATTTTCAAGCAGAAAATTGTAGTATTTGGTTAAATTTTACATTAGCTCACCCAGTCTGCAACTGGAGTTATGCATCGCTGTTCATGCTGGGGACTGGAGATGGCAAAATTCATTATGGTAATCTGATTCTTTAAAATGCAGGGAGGAAGCCACCCTCCTCTCTTCCCCCACATCACATCTGGTGAGTGAGAATTTTATGTCGTAGGACTAAGCTATTCTTTTGGAAGAGATGCCCAGATGGCCAGCATACTTAAAAAGCTTTATGTTCTGCGACCAGGGAGAGGGGCTTCTCTTCCCACTTCTTACATTATGTAGATGTGGAATATTTCAAGCAGATACAGGCAAGCTCTTCCCACACTCCAAGCTGCTAGGCTGCAATCCAGCTCAGTCCAAGAGCTAGCTGTATGACTTCATTGGTGTGGTGCCAAGGCAGAACTAATAAACACAGCCTCTGCCTGCAAAATACTGTGCAGACAAAACTGCAGACAGCTCCAAAACTAACTCATGTGTTAGTGACACATGGCAGAAGGCGGCTGCAGGCCCTTGATGGGGAGAACCCCATCCTTTTGTTCTGTGCAATTGTGTCATTGGGATTGAAGAGGGCTGCAAACTGCAAAGAATCTCTTCAATACGAAACTGGATGCCGACAGTAAAGATGAATACTTCATCATCCAAGTATACAGGTGCAACACGTTTCAGAGAAGCTGATATATATAAAGAAAATGAGGTCTAAAACGTATATAAAGTCACTTCATAAAGAGGCACAATTAAATCTCTGATAGAAGTGGCAAACGTTCTTAGATTGTCTTTCATTTACAGTGAGTAAAGAGGCAAATTGATTTTTCCAGGTTTGAACAAGTCTTAGAACTAAAAATGAAAGACTCCGTAAACCAGCCACTGACACTTGATGAGCTTTTAAGTGCTGTGTTTCTTACTATTTCTCTAATCGAGATAGAAACACAAAGCGCACATATGAATAGATTTCAGAAAGAGGCCACAGAAAATCATCAATAAAATGTAAATTACTTGGAGGCATAACATGCACGAATGGCCTGTTAGTGAGAACAGAGACAATGCCTTTCTGTCTCACATCACACAAAACACAATGACAAATACACATTTTAGTATGGGCAGCCAGATCCAGGTTGCATATACCCTTCAGCTTGGAGATCTCCTGCTCTTTTTCCTGCTGCAGTTGTAAGTATCGCTCCTTGTGATCACTGAACGTTCTGCTGAACTCTTCTCCTTGTTTGCGGTGATCTTCCTCAAGGTCAGCATGCTGTTTCTTTAGTTCTTCATGTTGGCTCTGCAAACACCAAGTTGGACACTGGAACAGCTCTGTATCTGCGTATCTGGCTAATATTGTCTTTGGCAATTTGTTAAATAAGTCCAGATGAATAGTAAGCATTCATAACAAGAAGTTTGTTATTCAAAGCATGCATATTGCAGCTCCTCTCAAACACAAAATGATCTCTGTGATGAGCTGTCTCCTGTTCTGGGGCTACGTCACCTCAGCCTGCAGTTGCACCGTCCCGTTGGGAGCTGCTGAGCGTGTCTAAGAAATTCCTTACATGCCAAACTACGTAAAGTCTGATAAGTCAGCATTCCATACAAGCAATTGCATTTGATAAGATTAAATTACCCACTGGAAAGCCTGACTAGGAAAAAACTGCAGTAAAGCATCTTTTAACGGTACTGTTTTAAGAGGAAGGCACCATCGATGTACTGACATTCTGGAGCGAATCACCAGGAGCCAGCGAGGCCATACCTCCCTGACACAGCAGAATGCCAGTGGCCGGTGAAACGGGGTATCTCGGTTACCTACCTTCAACATCTGGTGCTGTACGCTCAGTGCACTGTAGCGGCTATTTGAGTCTTGCTGTAAAATGAAAACGCTAGCGTTAAACAGAACAATACTGTCATTCCTCCAGCCTCTGCACGTGCAGTTATTTAGGAGTCGCAAGCCAAGGGACATAACTCCCCAGGACACAAATTAATCTCTCCACTTGCTTTGGAACATAGCAAGCATATATACTTGGCACTTACTGCAGCAACAATGTATTTTAACTTCGGTTAGGCAGCTCACAAACTGCTCCCCAGTTTCAACATGAAGTAGCCATAAAATCCTAATTTACTCGCTGTATAAAAAGAGTTCTCTACAGGTCTCTGGGTCCTTTGCCAGATGCAGCTTTCCTTCTGGCGCTCGGTATATAAAGCAAAGTTTCTTGATGTTTTTATACTTTCCAGTTCAAAGACCATGTGTTAGAAAGCTGTCACTGTCCTTTTCCCTGGGGACTAAGCTACAAAAAGATTTGTAATGCCTTATTATTCCCCCTTCCCCTTAAAAATGGTTACATTACATTTGAACTACCATAAGATAAACAGGAGGATATTTTAAAATTAATTTTCTGGAAAGATATTAGGATCTCCTATTACAGCTTAAATAATGAGGAATTGCAGAGCACTTACGCCTGCAGAGTAGAGACTGAATAAGTGAGCGCTCTTTCAATTAGTATTTTGTGAGACCTCTTTGAACAGTTATAATTGCAAAGCATTTCCTTTTTCTTGCAACTCAAATAGCATCGACTATTAAAAACTTGTACTCAGAATGACGACTTACCCTTCCTTTATTTAGTGTTTCCTGTGCTTCTAGTTTATAAACAAGAAAATCTACAATATAAAAGGGAAAATACTGATGGAAAAAAACAGGAAGATTAGAATCTGCACTTCAAGTAACATAACTGCTGCGTACCTAAATTCCCTTAAGAGCTGAATACTTACACAGTTACAATTTTCCTGAAGATATTCAAAAAAACTATGGAGAATTTAACAAAATGCTCAAATTTTGTCAAAATATTAAAAAGTTTCATAGCTTCATAAAATATTTTCATTAAAAAGTTTCATATCTTAGTGTGAGATATGGTGGTGGTTAGTGGTGGACTTGGCAGTGCTGGGTGATCGGCTGGACTTGATGATCTTAAAGGTCTTTTCCAACCTAAACGAATCTATGATTCTATATAGGGGGTACAGGCTCAAGACTGCGGATGGGTAAATCTGTTACATGAACTCTCTCAGTAAAGGCCCAATAGCATCATTCAAAAGGAAAAGGGCATTTATAAATCATATATTCTTGTATTAGGATTAAAAAAAAAAAGTACTTTAAGAAGTGTGAAAGTCTAGACTGAGTTTAAATAAAACAAACATTTCCCCTGTTGTTCCTTGATCCTCTTTTCAGGATTTGAAATTGCCGACTCACCTTTGCAGAGCAATGGGACGGCTCTACGCTAGGTGGCACCAGAAAGCTACCGAGAACAGCACAGTAAGAATAATTTCTTACACATCTTAATCTTTGCTAAAGTAGTCGTTTTAATTCAGCGGCTGAGTCCTCAGTTTTAGGAAGAATACAGGCTTTACTCTGAAAATTGTAGTGAATTTAGAACAACAAGAGACTCGGAGAAAACTCAGAGGATTGCATTCTGCTGAAGTTTCATAGAGGGCAGATGTGCAAGAAATACAACGTGTGCCAACGTTTCCCCCTCACACACACCTAGAACTTACTTTTAATCAGAAAAAGGTATGTAAGCATGTGTTTACCCTTAAGCATGTGGAAAAATACTGAGTCAGAGTCTAATTTCACATTGATGGAATGCAGGGAAAGATCCCATGTTTTTGGTACAAGTTTTAAATTTTTAGCATGCTGGAACAGGATTTACACACGCCCGTGTTCCACATACGTGTTAGCTTTATGTACATCGATACACACACATTCTCTGTGTATACTAGGCCATGTTGCAGTGATCTGTAAACAGTACTAAAAAGAGGATTACTTTTTAAAAAGATTAGATTAAAAAAATAAATTTAAAAAAAAAAAATTAAAAAGATGTACTAAAAAGACCCCACCACAGATCTGCCAAGGTGGTCCCGCTAATGTGTTATACATTGGTAACTCAGTTAAAATTTGAACAAAATACATCTGATGTTACTTTCTAAAATAATCACGATATCTTAAACATCAAAGTGAAAAGCACATTTTTACCTTCTTTCGCTTTCTTATGTTCGAGCCTTTCCTTTTGTAATGACTTTTCTAGTCTTGACCTGTGCTCATATACAACTGAAAAGAGAAATTTCGTACACAATTCATTTTAGAAGTAATATATACAAAAACCTCTACCCACCGCCAGCACACCCAGAGAGCATTGGCACAGAATGCACCAGGAAAATACAAGTGGCACGAGGTCAAGGATAAAGGACTGTTTGTATCATTTGGGACAGTAACTTTTTTTTCTTTTTTGCATGCTTTATTGATCCTGAATTCTGGGTTATTTCCATTGCATAAACATGGATTGTGATGACTGTGTAAGTGATTTGTTTATGGAGACAGTCAGCTAGGGTGGATCTACACGAAAGCTACCAAATCCTCTTTCCTTCTTAGGTATGCAGGTACACATTCTCCCATGCTTTCATTCTCTCCTGCCTCGTTTGTAAAGAGACAAGGAAATAAGACAGGACAACCTCACTGCCAGAGCAAATCCTTGCAGCAAACAAACTGTCACAAGGAGGGACGAGAGATGCACAAGAGCAGGACGGCTTAGAAAGGCGCAGTAGTACACTAGGCAGGCTGCTTAGCCTAAGACGTGGAGAACCCGAGATCCTTTCCTAAATTCTTCCAAAAACTTGGGCAACTCAGTTTTCTGTGACCTTTTTTGTAAAGCCCAGATCCTTTACACCACAGTGCTGCTGACCCACAGCCTGCACAATGGAATGCTTAGGTACCAGGTCCTCCATTTCTTAGTAAGCACATGCCAACAGTAGGGTATGCATATGCTAAAGCACCCTGTACTTGCATAGAATATCCACATAATCTGAGGAGGATTCCCGTTTTTTGAGCGTGTTCTTTTTCCACCCCCTAGTTAAGAGATAAGGCAGGAAGAACAAAAGAAATATCTGAAGGGCTAGGATGGCTTAGGTATAAAGCTACACTGGATGCTTCTCTGTAAGGCCAGGGTATCAGAGACTGCTCGTCAGGAAATCATTGCAGTTTGAGAGTGAAATCTAACCTTCACTGATTTTAAAGTCCATTTGCACATCTTCTTTAATTGAGTCAAAATACCCACACAATAGTCTAGAGATGAACGAAGAAGTGGTCTGTGTGCAGCGCTTCAGCCACAAAGCACCAAGCTGAGGTTTTAGGGGCACCGCTCACAGTACAACCCACAACATCCTCAGCAGACCAAGTAACGGTGGTCAAGTCGTGTGTCGCTGTCTCCTCCAGCAGGGTCACTGACTACAAAAAAAACCTGCATGTTTTTTTGGAAAGATGCTCTGACATCGTTGCCAAACTCCACAAGCCCTTTGAGCTGACACTGCTACCAGAAGAGGTGGTTCTGCTACTTGTTCTCGGACTGTCCTTCCCTTCACTCTCACTGCTATGGGCGATGGGACACCAGGACCTGGCAGTTGGGGACAGGGCCTGTAACAATTTCTTCTGCTGGCAGCGCTGGCTTGTAGAGTTTTTCAGCGAGCAGCAGTGACAACTGGCAGCAATCTGGAACGCTGGGTGGCATGGCAGGAGACTGACTGCTCCAGGTTTGATAACAGAAAGCAGAGGCAACCTTAATTCTAGAATTTTACGGTATGACAACTACTCTCGGTCATATCAATGGTCCAACAGACCAACCGTGCCACCTCTCAGGACCTGACAAAAGCAGATGCCTAATGCAGAATACACCCAATGAGTTTACAGTATTTCTTTGGCGCTGTCTCCCAGCAATTTATGGCTCCCAAAGACTGTCCGAGGCGCCCGCAGGGCCTTTCCGTACACCATTCCAAAATGGATTTCACATGTATGAATTTGTCTAATTGTCGTTCTATCCCTGTGTATTTAGGACATCCAGTACCCTCTGGCAGAGGCCCACCAAGCTGCCAGTAAAGCAGCATTTCATTCAGGCTTGTGTTTCGAACATCTGGTTTCAGATGTCTCTCCCAGGCGATGGGGCACATCAGTCCCCATCTACCCTTTCCTCACCACTCACTAGACTGAAGGAGCAGCATCTGAAATGGCCTACCAAGTTCGCAGCAAAGGAAAGACATGAATTAAAACTCCCACAGAGGTACAATTACATTTGCTCAAGCTCAGTTTAACGCAAGTATTTTTCACTGTCCAAATTATAATTTGCACTCTTTTAAAGGGTTATTAATTTGTATTGATGGAAAGTGTGATTTTTCCTTCAGAACTAGGAAATTTCTTTTCTGAGTAAACCGTTGGTGAACATAAGCCTTCAAGAGGAAGCACCAAATAAAGATTTGTATCTTGGCAGCCACAGAAAACTTCTCTTGCACCTTTAAATGCGTTCTTAATTCCACCAAGGTGCATTCTGCAGGCTCTTTAGCTACTGGCTTATCTACAAGCGTTTATGTTTTGGCTTAGAATCTGGATTGCTCATCAATCCTTGTCACCTATCTCCACTTTGCTATTTATCTTCTAAAGTCAAGGGCATCAGTCAAGATGAACTAACGTATCAACATCCTCTGCAACAAAACAAGCATGTAATGAATATTCACAAAGTCACCAGCAAGTAAGCTTCCAGAGAAGGAAAAAAAAAATGGCAGCACTACAGTGATGGTTTTATCTAGGCACCGAAGATTGTGAATGCCAAATTACATTGCAAAAGGAACAGTGCTTGTAGCATAGCAACTCAGGAGAGAAATGAAAATCCATAATGGGTTTCCCCTCCCATGCAGTCGGGGCGGAAACAGGCTTTTTGGCAAACAGACTAAACCACAAACGGATTCAGAAGTAACATTTTCCATTTCACTCTGTTGCAAGCGTACCCTCCTCAGCTCCTCCTAGTGTTTTAACAAGGCGGGGGGAACCCTGCACAACAAACCCATAACAAGGGCGGGAAGAAAGGAGAAAGAGAATGCGAAAGCTTGGGTTTTAGGGACCGCGGTGCTCTGTACCTTTCACAGCTAATTGCATCTCTGCTGAGCTTTGGCTTTCCTCTCTTCACCCTGCACTTTCAAGCAATGTCTCTACACCCCTCCCAGGCAGCGCATCCTCACTGCTAGCTTCTGCGTGCTAACCTTTGAAATACTGCAACAAAGCTGGCAATATCTTAAAATAGCCTTTCAGATGGCCAAAAAGGGCTAAGGAAAGCTGCCTCCTACACCTTTCCTCTTCTAGTTCATTTACTGGGTGATTCAGCAATGTTTTTCTCTGATAATAGTCCATGATGTGCAACATAATGAAGATTTTGATTAAGAAAATAATTATTAAGAAAGCATAACTTCCATATTTTCTCACTTGCTCTTTTGGGGAGTAGGTTGCAGGTCAGATTTTGTAAGTACATATAGGAGTTTTTCTCCCATAAATGTAAGTTATTCCCACCAGTCAGGAACTTCCTAGGCAAGAGTCCAAACTACAAGACCCTTGTTACTACAGCAGGGGATTTCTCCTTCTTCACTACCAGCCTGGATATAAGATGTCTCAGCAAGAATCTCAAAGAAATAAATACATTGAAAACATGTTTTCTATTATAGGTTTCCCAGCCGGCAGGATGGAACCTATATAAGGAATCTGGCCAATTCATACTGGTGTGAGGCACCGACATGGCACTTCACAAATAATATTTTCATAGGGTAAGTTCTTAATTTTCTACTGATCTTTCCACAAATAATTGAACTTTGTTTCTATGTTATATTTAATAGAACGGTGCAAAAAAAAAAAAAAAAGGGGGGGGGGGAACATTGTCATCTAATGGCTAACATGCACTATTCCAAAGCTGGAATAAAGGCAGGTATCAGTTTAATTCTTTAAGCTACCTATATAATGTAACTACATGAATGAAAAAAAGAGCATGAATCCACAGAGAGGTGATCCAGCCTCAAAGAGCAAAGCCCAGAAACAAAACCGGTAACATCACAGCTAGTTAAACCACTGTTCGCCTTCAACAAGGAAATATCTAACAGTTCTTGAATTGATCTCAATTAAATCAAGGACTTGATTTAAGATTTTTCTCATGCAGAAAGGAAAGTGGAGAAGCGGGGGGGTGCGATGCTCTCTAGGTTCTCAGAAGATTACACCACTTTGACCATTGCTGAACGTTAATTGCAACACAGGAGTCAAGCAGTCTGATGAAAGCAAGCTTATTTAACAGTCACGGTTATTTCTCTTATCTTTGCTTTGCACCTCTAAGCAGTAAAACTATTATTAAGCAAAATAAGCTATTATTGTAGATTTAAAAGAAAGTATTTCCTATTTTACATTATCAGCAATTTTGCAACTGTGTTAGTTTGGTATTTTTGTCTGTCAAAAGCATGATTCAAGACTCCCAAATAGCCCAGCTCCTGCTATCTTACATACTGGAAAATTACGATTACATTGGGATTTAAATATACGCGATGCAAGAAATCTTATTAATTTCATTGTTACTGTTTCTCATGCAATTCTGCAATCTTTCTCTGAGCTTACAGTAATACCTTTCGTTTAAAACCAGAAGATTTCAGTAGTCTTGGCAACATTCAATGTTATTTTCTGTCAGACTGTGGCAGAGTTGAACTGAACCAGCAGTGTGTGGTAAGCCACACTGGCACTTTTCTAGTAACACTGTGAAGGTCTGTAGAACATAGACTTGTTATAAAATACAGTTAATTTCCAATTCTTGTCACTGCAGATAGAACCATTTAAAATGTGAATCCATGCAAACAGCTTTTCTGCTGAGAGTAAAGCATTTCCATGAGCCAAGGAAGAATGCCTTCAATATGGGATGTAGGATAGATTTTCTAGTCCAATGACAATAATAAAATTTTTTATCTCAAGAGATTTCTTGACTGATCTGATGCTAACATTTCATGCTGGGAGAACACGTTATTAATATAGCAAGACCTGTTCCCCGAGCTTCCAGCTCCGTATGTGATTAAGTCAGTGAATCTGGCTTCAAACAAGGAGATCCACTATTTCACTACTGATAATCTTATCAGAAACAGATTATCAAAGTGTGGGTAGCTCCTGGACAAGTATCAGGATTCCCCACCACAGTACAACCCATACTGGTCACAGTATACACTCCACCTATTTCAAAGATTCTCAATTGAGAGTTTAGCAATAAACAG